CTAGAAAATATTGTATATTTTTAATCAATTTCTGTCGCTTGTGAAATTGTCATAATTTTTTTTATAAATAAATTAACTAATGATTCCAATAGGTAAGTGTTGTGATAAATTTTTAGGGGTGATTCGGTGTTTGAGTGTAGTATTTGATAACTCAAAAATTTCTGGTTCAATTCTTTTCTACACTCTCTACGAGTTAACCACTATTGTTTCTTTAGAGACATGTTTTAACCATGTTCAACCCTGGTGGCAAGTAGAATCTATTGTATTTTTGAACTTATTTACCGATCTACTATATTTTTTGAAAGTAGAATCAATAATTACGATTTCAGTAGAAAACGGTATCAACAATCCACCTTTAAAGGGTATTTATTTTGAAAACGTATTTATAGAATTCGCTTTCATTTGAGAAAGCGTATTCTCAAAATCTGCTTTCAAAGTAAAAAGCTTGCATCCCAAGTCCACTTTAAATAATGAAGCAAATATAATAAATCCACTTTTAGTCGAATATTTCAAGCCCAAAAAAGTCCCATTTATGTTATTTCGTTTTTTCCTCTCTTCTCTCTCTAGATACATAATCTTTCTTTCCTTTCTCTACCTTCTCTCTTCAATGCATTAGATTAGTTCTTCTCTATTCTCTTGGCCTTCCATCTCCTAAGCTGAGCCCTTAAAATGCAGGCCCCTAAGTGAGCAATCTATTCCGTAGCACTAACCTTGTTCGAAGAAGACAATCAAAGTCATCTACGAGATTCGCCTGTGCTCTAATTCCATATATGACATTCTTCTTAAGCCCTAGCATAGTCATTAATTTTGTCAAAATTCTGCAGTCAATTAGAGCCGATTTGATACATTTGTTTTTATGTAAAACGAATTTAATGAACACGTTTTTATTTAAAAGTTACACTTTCACTCATTAAGCAGAATCAACAAAGACACTTTATATACGAAACGAATTTGTTGATTACATTTTTAAAAAGTGTAATATATCGATAAATAAGTTTAAAAGTACTATAAATTTATATTTTTATTTTAAAACAGGCATATAAGCACCGAAATTTTTCTCCTCAGCTTCCTAGACCAACGGATAGCATAATGAACCAAACTTTTGGCCCTCTTGGCNTGAACACGTTTTTATTTAAAAGTTACACTTTCACTCATTAAGCAGAATCAACAAAGACACTTTATATACGAAACGAATTTGTTGATTACATTTTTAAAAAGTGTAATATATCGATAAATAAGTTTAAAAGTACTATAAATTTATATTTTTATTTTAAAACAGCCATATAAGCACCGAAATTTTTCTCCTCAGCTTCCTAGACCAACGGATAGCATAATGAGCCAAACTTTTGGCCCACTTGGGCAGAGGATGGGTTTTTGGAGGTTGTAATTTGGATCAATCAATCTGACATCAACCTATGCTAAACCTTAAATATGAAATAATTGGGCGACTTTTCATTCGTGTGCTGTGTTTCACTTAAAAAAATTAGAATATTTAAATTTAGTACTTGTGTTGAAATCTTAAATTTTTAGCAGTCAACCAAAATTAATGAATTCTGGTTTAACCATAATTCTATCTAGAGTTATAGATAAATTTCAGATTTTGCCATGCTGAAGCTGAGTNGCAGAGGATGGGTTTTTGGAGGTTGTAATTTGGATCAATCAATCTGACATCAACCTATGCTAAACCTTAAATATGAAATAATTGGGCGACTTTTCATTCGTGTGATGTGTTTCACTTAAAAAAATTAGCATATTTAAATTTAGTACTTGCGTTGAAATCTTAAATTTTTAGAAGTCAACCAAAATTAATGAATTCTGGTTTAAGCATAATTCTATCTAGAGTTATAGATAAATTTCAGATTTTGCCATGCTGAAGCTGAGTTCACCCTAGACGGGATTTGAATTGTAATCCGAATTGCATAAGAGAATAATCAAACCCGAATTGAATCCAATTTTAATCAAAATTCAACTAGAGCTCAAAAATTTAAGCATCGATAATATTCACCTTGAAGAGTTCGCTTAAAATTCGGGTTTGAATTGAATTCAAGTTTAAGTTTTAAATTCGGGTCATTTAAATAATTAATGACCATGGATAAATTAATGGAAAATTTACAACTATAAAATAATTTTTGATTTGACATATAATTATTTTTTTAATACCATTGCAGTAAATCCTTTCAGTATTAATTTAAAGTTGTTAATACCACTAGTGATGCTGTTATGTCATTTTCAAGTTGTGAGTACATTACATTCAAATTTTTTAAAATTTGTCATTTAATCTGATGAATCTTTTCCCGTTTGGCAAATAACATCAAGATCCCGTTAAAAAATACCCAAATTACCCAACGTGGGCCCTTTTACAACTACCTATTTCATCACCACATAAAAAACCAAGTTAAATCAAATACTAACCACTCACCCAGCCAAGGCCTCAATCCCACTACCTGCCGGTTGGATATCTAAAAATGAACAATCTCACTCAACAGATCAATAACTGAACCCATACCGTACTAACGATGTCGTTTGCCATTTCGGCACAACTGATTTGAGAAAAAGGAAAAAGAAAAGAAAGAGAAGTAACAAATTGGCATAAAGAGAAGGGCTAATCTCAATGCCCCTCAAAAATTACTCAAATTTTAATTTGTACCATCAATATTTAAAAATATTAATTTATACCATGAAAGACATAATTTCATATCAATGTACACCTGAGGTTAACTTCGTCTATTTTGTTGTTAAAAAAGTTTGGATTAATTATAAATTATACCATTCAAAATTTAAATATTTCATATTTATGATCCAAATCTATTCATTAATGCTCGATAAATAGCTCTCAATTGTTTCTTATCATAACATCTTCTTGTCATGCTTGTCAATAATTTTTTTTTGTAAAATATATATTTTTTGCCTATAATACTTGTTAAATAACTATTTTCTATCTACAATTAGATACAAATCTTTTGTTTGTCCGATTAAATTAAAGTTAGATACGAATAATACAATTGTAATAGAAAATAGTTATTTAACAAGTAACATAGGCAAAAAATAAATTTTTTAATTTAAAAAAATATTAAATAGTCTTATATCAATTGTCATAAATGTGAAATATATAATATAACGCAATTGACTCGACACAAAAATATTTTTTTATCGACTTCAACACGACATTGAGGAATAATGAATGAAATATTTTTTGAATCATAAATGTGAAATATCTAAATTTTGTAGGGTGTAATTTATAATTAATCTAAACTTTTTTAACGGTAAAATAAATGACAATTAATTTCAAATACATATTAATATGTATTTATGTCTTTTAAGGATAAATTAATATTTTTAAACTTTAAAGATGCAACTGGTCTTGCGAGATGCAAGTTGAGATTCGCATCATGAGAAAACAAAGAGCTAATACTTGTTTGGGACGACGATGCTCATGGGTTGGGTTGGCAGCGTCTACAAGGGATATGTGGTGTCCAGTCAGGGGCTGAGCCAGGAAAAAAATTTAGGGTTGACACATTAGTATATTTTAATTTTTTTTTAATAGACAGTTTATAAATTTATATTTATTAAAATTATATTTAATATTTTTTAAACATAAAAAATTAAAAATCGATATACATAACATGAACAAAAAAATAATAATTAAAACTTCTTATCGAGAATGAAACTAATTATTATTACTTATAATTGATCATAATATGTTTTTATTATTTAAAAGAGTTACAAATTAATTTTATCAATAATATTTCTTTTATATATAAAATAACAGTAACAATCTTCTATTGACGATCCTATAGTTTACGACACACATTTTTATATAATAACAAAATAATCCTACAATTTAAAAAATTTATAAAATAATATCAATATATTCAAAGTATATTCGAACATGTCTAAAAGTTAATAATTTTATTAGTTGTACCTAATTTGAGGTTTAATTGATGGTGACCTAATGGTTTGTGACCATCGGATAGATAGTAGAGTTTATTAAATATTAAAACTCATTATTATACTTAATATCGCAATGTATTAAGTCATTAAATTAGATTTCAATAACATTATTCAAAAAGTTAGCAATTATTTAGATAAGAGTTTATTCAAATTAATATTAACAGAACACAATATTAGGGTGAATACAATTAAATATGTCTAAATTTTATTTCAAAAAATACAAATTTAATATGAAGCCAAAAAAAAAAAAATTGAGGGGGCATGTGCCCACCCTAGCCCAAGGGTGGCTCCGCCCCTGTGTCCGGTGCCGGTTATCTGGTAAATCAATCTTCTCTGTCTCTGGTTGGCCATAGTGGTTTTAGGTGCTTTGTGATATTTGTTGTGTTTGGGGGCAGAATGTTTCAGTTTGGGAGGTATGGTAGTTCCGTTGGGGTGGATTGGGCTTTAGGTGGTCGAGACAGGGAGCTTTGGTAGAGGATGTGGTTGTGTGGTGGTGGTGCAATGGTGGTCGGCCCAAGGGGGTGATGAGTTGTGGACCTAAATTTATCTGTGGTACTTTGGTCTTTGGGTTGAGTTTCGGTTGATCTTATTTTATTTTAGTAAATTTTGTTTTATTTATATATTGGGGGGATAAAACAGTTATTGTGCAACTCCCGTTATGCCTGTCCAGTGACTATTACTGATTAGAGATTCCGCTGTAATTTGTTAAATGTGAGGAGTATGTTTGATTAAATAACAAATTTCAAAAGGTCTAAGTGTAATATATCCATAAGTTTTTATCGTGTAAATGGATTGATTTTTGAACCAGAAACCACCATGTTTTATTTTGATGGATGAACACTTAGGACCACTTAGGAATGAGTAATGCTATCCAAATTGTATTACTCTTTACAAAATATACCTAAGAAATGCTAACTTAAATGAGAGTAAATACCTTGTCCGAAAATTAAAAAGATTCACCTACCCTGTATAGCCAAACCCTTGAGGAACTATATATAAGTACTGCTACTGAAAGTATACAAGAACCTCAAGAACCTCGAACTTTGCAAATGGGGTTTGAAGAAGAAGAAGTGTTGGAGCCTGTGAGCCCCATTGCACACTACCTCAACAGCTCAGTGCTATCTATCTCTATTCTTTGTGTTTTGGAAATTGAAGTTCCAATCGACGACTCACAGACCATGTCACTGCTCCAGAATGTGTTCTTGCCCATCAACCCACGCTTCTCATCCGTTATGGTACTGTGTGTGTGTGTTTTAAGGTCAACTGAAAACATCTTCTCTATGATTTTATGCCAAGAACATGAGCTGTTCTTCTGCATGTACGGGATTGTAGCCGTACATGTAAGCATTATTTGTGTGAGAATAGACTGTTTACATGAGAATTTATACAAATTTATTGAGAATTTTTAACATTAATTGATATGTTTCTGTAACTCTTCAATTTTGATGGACTGCCGATAAAGAATTTAATCTCTATTTGTGTTGTGGCATGCAAGTAAACAGTGGGTGTATTTATCCAGGTCTCAATAGAATTACTCCTTTAAACATATATATCGCAAATAGGGATAATTATAATGAAAACCCTTCTTGTTTTTAATAATTTCATTGAACCTCTTGTTCTTTCTAAAATTACAATGACCCCCTTGTTAGAATTGTCAGTTGAATATGGTTAACCAAAATTTTTATTGTCTAATTTACCCTCGCACTGTTTTGACTACCTTTCTTGAAAAATATACATGATCAACCAAAAAAAAAATACTTAAAACCCATGTAAAAATAGCAAACCCCTTCCATACAAACACAGAGCCTGTTATTACGGTCAATTGGTTATTATCCCATCACATCACCAACTTTTTTATTTTTTAGTAATGACATAGACGGCAAGGGTTGTCTGTGAAACACATATATAAATTATAGGGATATGTAGTGATATTTTAAAAATTGGAAAGGTTATCAGTGAAATATGACTTATATCCAAAAGGTGTTAGTGAAATTTAGCCTTTTTTAGATAAATATTTGGCAAATGATTTGATTTGCAAATAGTTTTAGTTCACAAATTTTGATTCATGGGTTTTTATTTTCGGCCATCCAACCTGTGCTATGTCTTTGTGTATATGTGTATATAAATATGTATATCCACACAACCAATTGAGATCTATTTTTAATTAGACAAAATGGGTAGTTTACTTGAATGGGGAAAAAAATGGGTATTTCATGAAGTAATTTTGTTCACATCATCATAGCCAAGTTAGCCCACCAATGGTCCATTGATTGAAGAGTGAATTGTTTAAAAGTTGTCACTTTCAAAGGGGTGCAGTGTAATTCTAAAACAACTAGAGGTTCAGTGAAATTTTCAGAAACTAAGAGGGAAGTCATTGTAATTTGAAACATATGAGGCATGAAATTAATTGTTAAAAGTAGTTAGATGGTTTCACATTTATGCTTCACCCTGTGTGTATCAATGTGTTTTATGTTTTTTTCTCACCGAATATCTTTTTTCTTTACTCACCCAAAATTTATTAAAGAGTTCGAATCTTGGTAACTCTTTGAAATCACGCCACAAAGAATTTATTCTTCATGTATATCTTAGTTTTAGAGTGAATGACTTATCTTTGATCGGACTAAAGAAGAGATAAGTGGAGGTGTGTGGAAATTGACTTGGATACCTCTTATCGTTGAACCAAAGAAAGGAAATAAAAAATGAGTTTTGCCATAGAATTTTCGCATATTATTGTAAGACTTCTGCTATAGTAGGCAATTTATGAGTACCTTTACCCTTTTTTTCAACTCTTAACTTACCCTGATGTGAGTTGCAGGCTAGAGATGGTAAGGGAGAAAAGAAATGGAAGCGGGTTGCAGTGAACCTTCAAGATCACGTTATCGTCCCCGTTTTCCCCCAAGGAAAGTCAGAGGAATTTTACAACGACTACTTCAGTGACTACTTAACAAATATAGGAATGGATCAATTTCCACAGAATAGGCCATTGTGGGAAATTCATATAATCAAGTACCCAACAAGCAATGCTGCAGGAAGTGTAATATTCAAAATTCACCACTCCCTTGGGGACGGCTATTCTCTGATGGGAGCTCTTCTTTCTTGTCTGCAAAGAGCTGACAATCCTTCCCTTCCATTGACGTTTCCTTCACGTCAATCGAGCTCGAAACCTAGGCATGACAGTGTCAGCATTTTCCGGTGGGTGCCACGATTTATATCTGGGATGGTTAACAGTGTTTCAGATATTGGATGGAGCCTCCTAAAGAGCAGTGTTGTGGAAGATGATCAGACACCAATCCGATCCGGAGAGGATGGAGTGCAGTTCCGGCCTGTCACTATAACTACCATTACATTCCATCTGGAACAGATCAAACAAATTAAGGCCAGTCTTAAAGTGGTAATTCAGCTATTTCTATCCAGAATACAATAAAATTATGCTAAAACTAAGATATATTTTCTACTAGGTTAAATTACACTTTCCCCATAACTATTACCCTTTTTTTAACGTTGTCCCTCAAACTATGTTTTTTTTTTTGTTTTTTCACATTGTACTCTCAAGTCTCGACTATGTAATTAATTTTACATCAATTATTAACGCTTGTTACCAATTTGACAAAATAATATTTCACTTTACCCCCTAAACTATGTTATTTTTTTTTTTCACTTTGTTCCGACATATTGGCAATTTCTGTGAAATAATTCAAGTATTTGAAAGGACAATATAACTTAGTAGTTCAAGGGACAAAGTGATATTGAATCCATAGTTTAATTTGCAAAATTTTAGGAAGTTTTTATTATTCTTAAATAGACCCCAAAATGTCTCTAAATTATGCTAAGTAACTCCACCCAGTCTGTTAACTTGCTTTGCAGTCATTTTTATCGTCTAACTTCTATTATTATCTTCTCACAGTCGATAAACGACGTAATTACTGGGATAATATTCTTGGGAACCAGATTATACATGCAAGCAACAGGCCATGAGTTTGGTTCTGCAGATTCTACTGCATTGGTGTTGTTCAACACCAGAGCCATGGAAGGTTACAAGTCAGTGAACGAAATGGTCAAAACTAATTCTGAGATGCCTTGGGGAAACCGTTTCACATTCCTTCAAGTTTCCATACCCAAATTGACTGTTGCTGATTCTTCAAACCCTCTCAGGTTCGTTTTTGAAGCGCATCAATTGATCAAGAGAAAGAGAAACTCTTTCGCCGTTGTCCTCAATAGTATGTTGCTGGAGACCCTCAGAAAATTAAGAGGCTCTGAGGTAAATTAAATGATTGTATAAATATGAAAACAAATTATACTTTGACCCTCTCAATTATGATATTTTTCTTATATTGTCCTAAATTACAGATTTTTCGAAAAGTAGTTTCATTTTGTCCTCCCAACTAGTTGTTTCACTCACTTTTCTCTATGAGTAATGTTAGATGAACTTAAAAATTAGATTTGATAATCTCAATCATTAAATAAGTAGTAGGTCTCAATAAGTGTTGGGACCCACAGTGAAATCAATGGTTGAGATTATCAAGTTTAGTTTTTAAGTCTACTTTTTAAATTTATGTAGCATTGTTCTTTCTCTATACATGTTGATAATTTCTGTCTCAAAAATAATGAGTGTTTGCATTAAGGAAAATTTAAAATCAATTCAAGTAGTTGAAGGGTCAATGTGAAAAATTATGCTATATAATTTTCTTTTTTTTTTTTTTAATCAAGATAAGCTTTTCCTTGACTTCTCTTAATGATGCATCACTTGTCTTTAAATTAGCAAGTGCTCATTCACATATAGTTAGTCAAATTTGAATATATGATAAGTAGATGACTTATCATCGATAAAAATTGAGAAAAAGTGGACTAAAGCGTACCTAATTTTTGTACATACTTGGTATTGTTAACTATATTCAAATTAATGTCGCAGGCAGCTTCTAAGCTATTCCTTAAGATTTTGAAGAGCTCGAGCATCCTAATCTCAAACATGATTGGGCCAGTGGAACAAATGGCTTTGGCTAGTCATAATGTTAGTGGCATGTACTTCACAGTGGCCGGAAATCCAGAGGTAAATTATCTATATATTTCCTCTTTTATTTTTTTTTCTTAAGGATTGATCAGCAATTTTTTTTGGAATCGAGAATCGTGTCAACCACGCCTCATCTAAATTCATTATCTAAAGCGAATTTCCTATAGACAATCATCACCTCTAAGTTTTGTGTGACCAAAGTAACTCCAACTTAGAACGTAGGGATTTACGCTTCACATTTGGAACTTGGTTTAGCTCAACCAATTTGTTCATCAAACGAATCCAATTGGGCTTCTAAGTTACAATTAAATATGAGTTTCCACTTGTACGTGTCTCTTCTGCACAACATACAATTTCCGAAATTATAGTGATTACGGTCTGTGATGATTCTATTCAATTGAACAATTTCAGATGGTGAGTAACAACACACAATTCATTACTTTCTACTCTATTAACATGGTGGTGTTGGAATTTCAGAATGCAATAATAACAATAGTGAGCTACATGGGGAAGCTAATGGTATCCATGGCAATGGACAAGGATTTCATAAACTCCCATAAGTTCAAAGAATGCATTGAAAATGCCTATGAGATTATCCTCACAGCTGCAATCCAGAAGTCGTCTTCATAAGGCATTGCATCATCAGTGTTAGGTCAAATGATGCTGAGAACCAGTTTTCATGCAGTGGTAAGGCTGTTCCACTGTGACTTGAGCTTTAGAAATTTGAGTCACGGAAGCAATTTATCTGCATGCATTGGGGGATAAAGCTTCGTACACTTCATTACACTTTCTATATTTAAATTAAGCTCTATTAAGTTTTGAAAATTTTAATTGTAAGAGGTGTGGAATAAATGGTGACTATGTAACAGTGCCATTCTTTTATTTCAGTAGTATGCTTTGCTTTGATGGGTGCTAAAGCCCAAAGACTAATGAACTGAGTGAGTAATATATACTGCCACTGAATATCATTTTCAGTAAATCCTTATAATTTATAAGCAGCTGAAAGATGATCATAAACGATAGATCCCAAAACAAAATCATGATTCATGTTGTCTATTTTTTTATTGCTATCAGTGAGTTTTGAATCTTTGATACCTCGTACCTGATCAACCATACTACGACAGCTTTGGCCATATTCACCAATTTATCTGCCACATACTTGTTCTACGTTTAAGTGTGCTCTAGTTCGATATTCGTGTTTTTATTTTTTATTTTTGGAGAGATAGAGAGAGAGATGGATGGTTTGTCATGTTAAGGACTCTATCCAAAGCATACCGAGAGAAGAAACCGAGATCCAAAGGCACTCTTAAGTCTTGATATTGCTTTTTTGTTCGAAGTGATTTTTTCACATATGGCGCCAAATTGTGAGTGGTGAAAACGTGTCTACCTCTCACATTGGTTGATGAGTATGATTCCTGTATACTGAGAGAAGAAACCAAGAGATGGATGCTGGGAGATAATTTCGCATAGGAGTTCTGGGGTGTTCACCCTACCCTACATGTAGGAATTATGATATTCTATCTTTCTAGTCGATATTTTGTGGAAGAATTTTTCTTGACCTACCATACTCAATCAAGTGTACTATTTCTACCCGAATTCTGTCCAAAACAATCGGATAGGAAGTAGGGTGAACACATATTTTGTAATTGTTAATTTTTGGATCATTTTAACAATTTAATTAAATAACCTGCACCAATTAACTAGCACAATAAACCAATAACACTAAAAAAAACACAATAAATGCAATAATACATAAACAACTACAATAAAACATAACAAGAAAGTCATAAGCATCAATATATCATATATAAGAAAGCCATAAACATCAATTAAACATTAGAGTTTCTAGATTTTTGAATTTTATTTTTTAGGGATTAATGTATATATGTGGGTAGGGTAGGGTCAAAATACGAAAATTTTGTAAATATTTCACATTCTTACCCAATTTTTTGCGAAATACTAAAAAATCTTCCGTTGGCCTAGCCAATCTTTCGGATAACCAATCAATATAATCGAGTAGAGTAGGGTAGAATCAAAATTTACGGGTAATAAAAAATTTGAACACCTTAGGAGTCCTATGGAATTTTGGTACCTATTGATGGAGACTGCGACTCTTCTCCATTTCCAGCACAAATGGAAGATGCTCCATTCATTTGCATTAATGAGGAGTAGACCTATGAAAATCCAACACGACACGTGTTGTGGGTGTCTTGTATTGCAGTCCTAATAGAAAACTGATTTGAACTTTGTTCTATTTAGGGATTTAGAAAGTTAGAAGTCTTAGAATTCCACTTAAAGTAAAAGACCAATTAAAAACCCTATTGTATTAGGAGACAAAGTATTTTGGGCCTATAAATAGATTATAGACGACTCAGTTTCTTTTGGGTTTTTGGCCCCCAGTTTTGGGCATCCATGTTTGATTTTATTCTCTGAGTTAGAGAATTTTGTGTAATCTCCTTTTGTTGATAGTGATACTTTGCTACTGCGTTTCGCCCATGGAGTAGGCTTTTAAGCCGATCCATGTAAATTTATGTTCTATTTTTCTATTTCGTTCCGTTATTATTTTGCGTGTGGTATTTGTTCATAATATATTAGTATCAGAGCTGTTGGTTTCAGGATGACTATAATAAAATTTGAAGTACAAAAATTTGATGATTAGAATAATTTCAGTCTACCACAGATCCAGATATGTGACGTTGCTATGACGAATCTTTTGACAAAAGTTCTTTATGAGATACTACGATCAACGCTGATGGAGATTCAATAGATTTGCTATTGTGGAGAAAGAAGTTATAAAATTCACATTTGGTTTGATGTCTTGGTGGATATACTAGTCAAGGTGGAGATTTTTTATGGATGCTTGTGATATTTGTATTCCTTCATGGGATATGTGGAGAAGGCAGCTAGTTCGTTCACTTTTTTTTTGATTGTTTAATGGAATACAAGCCAAGGTGGAGATTTGTTGTGGGTGTCTTGTATTCTAGTCATAATAGGAAATAGATTTAAACTTTGTTCTCTTTAGGAATTTAAAAAGGTGGATGTCTTAGAATTCCACTTCAAGTAAAAGACCAATTAGAAACCCTTTTGTATTAGGAGACAATATTTTGGGTATATAAATAGATTATAGACCACTCAGTTTCTTTTGAGTTTTTAGCGGGCATCCATGTTTGGTTTTATTCTCTGGGTTACAGAATTTTGTGTAATCTCTCTTTATTGATAGTGATACTTTGTTGCTACGTTTCACCTGTGGAGTAAGTTTTTAAGCCTATCCACATAAATTTATGTTCTACTTTTCTATTTCTTCCCATTATTATTTTGCTTGTGGTCTTTGTTCATAACAAATTGGTATCAAAGTTACTGGTTTCGAGATGACTACAATAAAATTTAAAATAGAAAAATTTGGTGATCAAAATAATTTCAGTCAACGACAGATTTAGATACGTGACGTTGCTATGACGAATCTTTTGACAAAAGTTCTTTATGAGAAACTATTATCAACGCTGATGGAGATTCAATAGATTTGCTATTGTGGAGAAAGTAGTTAGAAAATTCACTTTTGGTTTGATGGCTTGGTGGATATACAAGTCAAGGTGGAGATTTTTTATGGATGCTTGTGATATTTGTATTCTCTCATGGGATTTGTGGAGAAGGCCATTTGTTATGAACAAAGATCACAAGAAAAATAATAACAGAACAAAATAGAAAAATAGAACATAAATTTACGTGGATCGGCTTAAAAGCCTACTCCACGGGCGAAACGCAGAAGCAAAGTATCACTATCAACAAAGTGAGATTACACAAAATTCTCTAACCCAGAGAATAAAACCAAACATGGATACCCAAAACTGGGGCCAAAAAATCCAAAAGAAATTAAGTGGTCTATAATCTATTTATAGACCCAAAATACTTTGTTTTCTAATAGCATAGGGTTTTTAATTGGTCTTTTACTTGAAATGGAATTCTAAGACATCTACCTTTCTAAATCTTTAAAGAGAACAAAGTTCAAATCAGTTTCCTATTAGGACTGAAATACAAGACACCCACAACAAATCTCTATCTTGGCTTGTATTCCATCAAACAATCAAAACAAAAGCAAACGAACTAGCTGCCTTCTCCACAAATCCTATAAGGGAATACAAATATCACAAGCATCCATAAAAAATCTCCACCTTGACTTGTATATCCACCAAGCCATCAAATCAAAAAGTGAAATTTTCAACTGCTTTCTCCACAATAGCAAATCTATTGAATATCCATCAGAATTGATCATAGTATCTCATAAAAAACTTTTGTCAAAAGATTTGTCATAGCAACGTTACGTATCTAGATCTGTTGTGAATTGAAATTGTTCTAATCACCAAAATTTTTGTACTTCAAATTTTATTATAGTCATTCTAAAACCAATAAGTTTGATACCAAATTTTATGAAAAAAGACCACAAGCAAAATTATAACGGAACTAAATAGAAAAATAGAACATAAATTTATGTGGCTCACCTTAAAAGCCTACTCCAAGGGCAAAACGCAGCAACAAAGTATCACTAACAACAAAGGAAGATTACACAAAATTCTCTAACTCAAAGAATAAAATCAAATATGGATTCGATTAGGACTGGAATACAAGACACCCACAATAAATCTCTACCTTGGCTTGTATTTCATCAAGCAATCAAAACAAAAGCAAACAAACTAGTTGCCTTCTCCACAAATCCCACGAGAGAATACAAATATCACAAGCATCCATAAAAAATCTCCACCTTGGCTTGTATATCCACCAAGCCATCAAACCAAAAGTGAATTTTCCAACTAATTTCTCCACAATAGCAAATCTGTTGAATCTCCATCAGCCTTGATCATAGTATCTCATAAAGAACTTTTGTCAAATGATTCATCATAGCAACATCGCGTATTTGGATCTGTCGTAGATTGAAATTGTTCTGATCACCAATTTTTTCTTCTTCGAATTTTATTGAAGTCATCCCAATACCAATATCTCTAATATCAGTTTGTTATGAACTAAAATCACAAGAAAAATAGTAAAGCAACAAAATAAAAAAAAAGAACATAAAGATTTACGTGGTTCGGCTTAACAAGCAAGCCTAAGTCCACGAACGAAACACAGCGACAAGAAATCACTATTAAGGGTTGGAGATTATAAAGTTCTCAAAACAAAGGCAAGAGAACATTCACCCGTTCTATTCCAATATTATAATAATTATTGGACTAACAAAATAGATCAAACAAATATTTGTTACTCGAAGAACTTGACGTTGTCAAACTTGAATCGATGAAGACGTGTCTTGAATTCACTCATGCCGAAAATCATACCGAATCCTTTTAAACTTCTAGACTAAGGAATTTAATTCCTTCACAATGTCTTCGGGGTGAGGAGTTCTCACGTGTTCAACAAAACAAAAGACTCCTGGAAGGCTTGGAGTTTCAACAACAAAAGTCCATGTTGGACTAAACTCCATTAAAATAATGAAACCAACATAATCTTAATTAAAGCCAAACTTGTCTACCAAGGGCTCCAATGAAAACTCATATCTTCAATTAGAGTCCAAATGAAAAAAAACAATTGACTTGGAATACAAGTCATCACAATAAATCTCCAATTAATATACACAATTAACATAATTGTGAAACAATAATAAGGAGTTGCGTACTAAATTGAATAGTAAGAGCAGTGATGCTCAGGCCGAGGGTTTATTTGTGAAGATTTGTCATGATAATTCCTTTAATAATAACAGAGATCGATCCGTTGAAAGAAATTTAGATAAAGGAAAAAGAAAATCTAGATATCGATCATAGTCTATGAAGAAACAAAATAATGTTGAATGTTTTTATTGTCATAATTTTGGTCATTATAAGCGTGAATGTTTTAAGTTAAAAAATAAAGGGGGACAAAAAAAATCAATCCTTCCAATTCCTCTAGTGTTGCTGGTGTTGCAGAAGATACATCTGATGGTTAAGATAATATCCTTACAATCTCTAATTGACGTTTTAATGATGAATGAATTCTTGATTCG